GGGAATCCGTGTGGTGGGAAAAGGAGAACAGAGATTAAGGAAGAAGAGATAATTAAAGGCCCATCATGACTGTCCTTGAAGGTCAAGCTTTATCCATGGGTGGTGGGACAGCGTGAGGATTGAGTGAAGGTCATGTGTGCCCTGATGAGTGGAGAGGCAGGGGGCTGATAGGATGCCTCTAGAACACTCTTCTCCAAATAGCAGCATGTAACGTTTAAGGGGCAGGTCATGCGATCACCCATTCAACACTTACTGGATGCCGAGTGCATGCCAGGCTATGTGCTCAATGTCATCCCTCTCAGGCAGATCATGCTGTGGCAGAGGAAGATGACAGGCTCATTCTAGGATGGTGGGGTAAAGCAGAGGCACAACTTGGGAGAAGCAGGGAGTTAGCGCTTGGTGAGTTCCCTGCACCAGAGAAAGCTGTCTCCAGGAAGAGATGGCTAAGCAGAGAAGCAGAGGAGTCTCTACTGGTGAGATGAGAGTGAGGAAGCACTTAGAAATGGAGAGAAATCCAGTTGGAGATGAGAGAGAGGCCAGAGATAAGGCCTGGGAGAGGTACTTCCTGTGGCTTCTGTGGCCAGGGTGAGTAAGGGACTATAGCAACTGGACTACGAGGAGCCATAGACAAGTCCAAAGAGAGGCAGGTTTTGACCATCTCATCACTAGAAAGAACCTTCTAAGGGCATGAGGGGATTGCTAAGGGTGTGTGTGTGTGTGTGTGTGTGTGTGTGTGTGTGTGTGTGTGTGTAGTGACCTAAAGAGAGATGCTGGACTTAGATAGGCAGGGAAGTGTGATGGTCTTGATACTTGGATGAGATTCTGGTCAGCCAGTGAGAATATTTGGAGTAAGATGGATCCACCACATGGGGGACCATCCTGGTGAAGGCTAGCATGCCTCCTTCTTTGAACTTGGAAGCTAGTGACAGTATTAGCAGTAGGGATAGAAGCCAGATGGAATGGGGACTAAAGAAGTCGGGAGGAAGGAATTAATAGGGGACACTGTTTAAGTGCCTCAGGAGAGGGGAGCTGGAGATGACCTGGGTATTTGTGGTAATGACAGTGGCCTGATGTATGCAGTTGGATGGTTGTGGCTCATGGGAGAGATTTCAGAGAGTTTTAACTGCCCCTTCAAAGCAGCTAATTTCAGAGAGTTCATGATGCCTGAGCAAGAGGTATCACTTGCAGTAAGTCCCTGAAAAGGTATTTCCCAAGACACGGAGGTTGGCTGTTTTGGGGTGAGGGTTCCAAGAGGGGGTGCCTTCTCATTTCTTTGTGGGGTGGGAGGAGAGTTCTCCAAAGGATGGAGAGGTCACAGGTAGCTTCAGGCTATTTATGTTATTTATGTTATTTTAAGAGGGTGTGGAAATCTCTCCTCTATATATTGGGGAACACTACACACAGCCTTGAGGCCACGTGGATGGTTCAAGGCCAAGGCTTATGGGCCAGTGCCTATGCTCCAGCAGGGTACTGAGGCTTTGTGAGTTCATGCCTGCCTGGCCAGGCTTTTCCAGGACCCTGCACCTTACCCAGAAAATCTCTGCATCCTGCTGTGTCTGGTAGGTAACCTTGCTGAGCTGTGGCCTTCCAGGGGATACAGGAGAGGGTATCCTCTACATCCTTCCAGCACCAAACCCTCTGTGTGTACCGCCACCCAGTCCTGGATCCCCTGTTCTTGCCATAGATTTATAGATTTCCCATGGACCAAATCTTTCCTAGGCAAAATGCTAGAGACAGTGCACTGGCTGTTTGAGCTTGAGGAAATTAATTACCAGGTCTGGATGGAATACAGACCCCACGGCCCTTTCCTTTCACGGATCCAGGTCCTGGAGAGTGAGGGATGAGAACAAGCTCCCAGAGTGCAGTGGGGATGGAGGTTCGGGGGGGGTAGGGGTGGGAGGTTGGGTGGGGCTCTGGCCAGGATTCTGTGGACGGAGGAAGTCCCCAGCAGAGGGGCAATCTTGCTCCAGCCCAGCACCTAGCCTCTGCTTCTCTTAGCCCACCTATTTTTGTTTCCTTTTTCTGGGACATCTTGTTATGTTACACACTGGACTACGAATCCTGAACTCCAGAATCCTCCAGCCTCAGCAACCCCTACAGAGTGGGGCCACACCAGGACCAGCTGTCAGTCTTTCATCAGGACCTGTGGACGTTGGAAAGGCAAAGTGCTTCTCAAACCTGTTCCTTTGACAAAAGGAGGCGATGACTGGCTTCAAAGGTACACCGGTGACCTCCATGCAACCTTAGAGAGGCCCAGAGATCAGGATGCTAGCCAGCTTCCCACCCTCATTCCCATGCGGGCAATCCATGGATTGTACTTGTCCCCTCACATTTTGGAATTGCTCATCCTCCTGCCGGCCTGGCTGAATCCTTCCCCAACAGGTCTTTGGGCCTTTGGTAACTTAGGACTTAGGTTAGGAAGTTCTGTGGCGCCATCAGGGATAGCTGAGATCCAAAGCTCTGTGCCTGTGCCTCCTTGCCACCTCCTAAGAACTACATCTAGAATTCACAGGTTCCTGGTGGGGTCCAAGAGCCACTGAAATTGTATGGAGACATTTTCACATTGATATATTTTTTGGAGGAGGGTTGGTGTCTTTAGGAAGAGGAGAGGTTGAAACAGGGTCTCACTATTTAGCTCAGGCTAGTTTTGAATAAAAATCCTCTGCTTTTGCCTCCCGAGTGTTAGATTGTAGACATGTACCACCACACCTTGTTCTAGAATTTGTCTTTTATTATCAAGAAATATTTGCAATTCGAAAGATGTTGGGTAGCTCAGGCTGACCCAACCTTTGTGTATGTGGCAGAACTGGGGCTTTGAAGGAAAAAAATCCCTAGTGCAGTGGCTAGTGCAGCATGAACAGAGGTGAGGAGTGAGGTCTCCCCTTCATACGCACCCCTGTGACGCTGTTTGTGCTCACTCTCCTCTGCACCCCACCCACCAGCAGCTCCCATGAGACTTATGCAGCCACAGTCCACAGTCCACTTCAGACCTGTCAATTCCAGAGGGGCACAAAGCATTTCCTGTGATTAACATGAGTAGCAATTAATTGTCCTTTTATATTGGAGAGGGCTTGGTTCCAGGACCCCACTGAATGCCAAAACGAATAGCAAATCCCTTAAACCAAGTGGTGGACTATTTACACAGAACCTGCAAGAATCCTCCTACATACTGTCTCTGACTACGAAGAATGCTTAATCCAAAGCAAATGTTAGAAGTTAGATTGTTTAGGGAATAATGATAAGGAAAAAAAGTCTGTAGCTGTTTAGTATTGGTGGGATAATTTTCTCAACTATACTCCAACCGAGCCTGGAGTTTAGAAGCCAACCTGAGTTGTCCTGTCCATCCAAGCAGCCTCCTTGGTGTCAAAGGAGCCCTTGACTCTTTCCAGATCACAAAGGGTAAATAATGAAGGGTGGGGTCTACAGCCAGGCTGCCCGAGTTCACATCCTGGCACCATCCCTTGCTCATGATCTGGGGCACCAGCCTTCATTTTCTCCTCTGATAAATGGAGCACCTGTTAGGGAGGGTGGAACGTAGATCAGCCAAGCTGCAGTATTTAGGACGGTGACGGTCCTCAGTGGAGAGCCCTGCACTGCTGAGGAATGTATAGAGGTGACACTCTGGTCAGAGAGCCTCGGGAGGGGTCTGAAACCCTGCACCAAAGGGCCTGGTTTTGTCTGTGGATGGTGGAATGAGGCTGTCCGGGACAGAGAAAACAGGTGGACTATGGTGCTCTGGCCCATTAGGAGGATACAGGCTCCTGCCCTCTGGGGAGTCCCACCTCTTTTCTCCTCACCCTGACCTAGCTCAGGGCCTTTTCAACCTGGCACTCCCACTTGCCCCTCCCCACTCCTGCCAGATGGCAAAATGGTCCCCTTCTTTCAGCTGGTGTCTTCCCCTAGAATGTCAGCCATGCGCACACAGACATTTGCTCTCCGCTATAGTCCCAGAGCCCAGCACAATGCCAGGCACACTCTGCTCGATGAACACCTGAGTGGGTGAGGAATTGGGGGCGGTGTGGGCAGTTCACCCTTCCTTCAGCTCCGTGCCAGGGCATGAAAGCCACAAGAGTCTGAGTGATGACACCTTCAGCTCCCACAGGTAACCAGCTCTTGACACTCTTTCCTCTGTTCATCCGCGGGGTCACTCTCTGCTTTATTGGATGTCCTGCCACCCCCTGCACCCCAGTTGGTGCTGGGTCTTCCTCTCCAGGAACCTCCACACCAGGAGTTACTTCCTCCCTATGGTCGCAACTGCTCTAGCTGTGTGTGCTTGGGCCAGCTGCCTGACCTCTCTGAGTGTTCTCCTTGAGTATAAAGCTATCTCAGACAGAAAAAGATGATGTGAAGGCAATACCCATAACTGAAGTACACTGGCCAGTTATTTGTGTACAGAGACGGAGGGGGAACTGGAGAAGAGAAAGGGGCCTCAGAGAGGTGACGGATCAAAAAAAAAAAAAAAAAAAAAAAAAAAAAAAGCTTAGGGACTGTTCAGGGCTCTGGGAGAGATGGGGGTTGGAGGGGCCTCACAGAAGGACATGGTCTTGGAATGCAGCTATTCAGCTTTGCAGACTGATAGAGAACGGCTCCCCCCCCCCCCGCTTCCCCCTGGGGGACCCTGGAAGCTGCTCCCGCTCTGCCTCCTGCAGGCTACAGAACCCAGTTTCTGCGGAATGACCAGAGGCACCAGGCCAGGCAACGTCCGCATCTCTTTAATCTCCTCCAGGCTGGTCCGCCCCACCCGACCCTCCCTCCTGCTCCCCGCCTGTCGGAGTGGAGGCCTGTCGGGGTGGAGGCCTAGGACTCCTCTCCCGGGCCCCAGGACTAAGGCACCAGGTGGCGTGAAGCAGGCCGGCGGGACACGGACTCACAGAGGGGCATTGAGGACGGACGCAGACAAGCATGGTAGGCATTGGGCATAGGCGAAGTTCCCAGGGGCTGAGTGCGTCCCGGATGCTGGAGGCCCCGGCCGCCAGTGAAGGGCTGCGGCATGTGGACGGGCGCTCACTTGCCGCCCTTGCGCGACAGGCACCGCGGGAGGCAGGAGAAAGTCTGCTTGATGCGCGCTAGCAGCGGCAGCGGCCGGTGGGCATCCCGCGGCGATCGTGGCACCAGGCGCTGCAAGGTCCCCTCGGAAGCCGAGGAGGATGCTGTGGCCGACTTGGCGGAGGTCGCCGCACCCTGGCGATAGCGCCTGCAGAGAGGCAGCAGCGTGCGCAATTCCTCCTCGTCTCGAAACTGGCTCTCCCCGAAGCGCTCCTCAAGCTGCCGGCGAAGCTGGGGCGGGGAGGGGACATAGGTCTAGTGGCTACCAGTTTGCCACCTTCGCCCTCGCGCCCTGCCCACATCTAGCTCTTCTAAGCTTCCTCTGTCTTCATTCTAAGACTTTCCGACACTCACAGAGGCGCCTGGCCTTGCCTTTAGGGTCCTAACCTCTCCCTAAACTCCACTTATCCTTGACCTCCATCGTCCAGACTTGCCCGCTGCAAACCGCATTAAACCACCTCCCTTGATGCTCTGTCCCCATCCCTGAACTCAAAGACACCATGCACCCAGGGTCTCTTTCTTGTGGGCTCTTGGCCTAGGGCAGCCCTGGAGCCCCTTGTGCCACCTTCTGAGTACCTTCCAGCCACTCCATTCCTTTCTCTCACGTTCCTAGTTGGCCATGTCGTGGTCTCAAGCCGATATGTCCATGTGTTTTCGCCCCAGTAGTAATAGAGGGGACTTCTTTGGCCCCAGAAAGACTCTGGGTGGAATAGGACACAGACCCCAAGTGGACAAACTCTGGACTGCCTTGTGTTGGGGACACCTGTGTTGGCTACAGTCTGGTCTATAAACATCTGAAAACCCAGGCCAGGTTGTGCTGCTATGGTACAATACCAGTGTTTGGGAGTTTGAGGCAGGAGGATTGTGAGTTTGTGACCAAAGTGAGAATGGAGGGAGGGAAAGGCACAGGGTGGATACCCTCCAATGGGTGCTAAGATCAAGGATGCTTGCCAGGCCTTGCACAGCCCCAGCCCTGCACAGCCCCGGCCCTGCACAGCCCCAGCCCTGCAAGGTCCCAGTCCTGCACATCCCCAGCCCTGTACAGTCCCAGCCCTGCACAGCCCCTACCTTCTGGGAGTTTCCCCAGCCAAACTCCTCAAGCTGCTGCCTAAAGCCTGGGTTTGGGTTGGCGATGGGCCTGGTGGCCTTGATGGCTTCAAGTACTTCCCGCCAGCCTAGTCCAGTCACCGTCATCACATAGGCAACCACGATGGTGGTACTTCGAGATATACCTGCAAAGCTGGATCCCAGACCACCCCAGGCTTCAGGAAAGTCCCACTCCTTTTATATGTCCTCCCTGCTAGGTCCCTTGCCTCACTGGAGCTTCTCCATGCTTGCCCCTTGAGCTCCAACCATGGGGAGCCTGCCTGGCTCTAGCTCTAAGGTTTGGCTTTGACATCTTCCTTCCCTCTGACCAGTACTCTCTCCCCCACTCCAAGGGATTGGCTGAAACATCACTCATTCATTCAGCAAACTCCCACCGATGGTGTTTTCATTCAGGCACTGGGGGTATGGTAAGGAACAAAACTCATGGCCTTTGCTGCCCTGGAGCTTACAGCATAGTTTGGAGAAACAACTATTAACTAAAGTAGCAATTTCAGATACTGCTGATCGCCTGAAGACAAGATGAGTCTGGGGCTTGAAGAGCCACATAAACAGAGAGGTTTCTTTAGTGGGTGCAGGAGAGGTGTAGGGGAGAGGCTCCTTAGGACGTGACATCAAGCCAAGTCTTGAAAGATAGGATTAGACAAGAATGTTGTGGGGCTGGGGCAATGGGTGAATTGTGGAGTGTTTGTTTGGTGTGTATGAGGTTGAGTTCAACTGCCCACACCATGAGATAAAGCAGAACAAAATATTCGAAGTAGTATGGACAACAATCACGAGGTAGAAGGTAGGCTGTGGATTTGAAGATGGAGAGGTTAGGATGGCTGAATATAAGAAGAGCTAGGACCTCTTTTTCTTCCTTCTTTCTCTATTCATTTCTTCTGAGACAGGGTTTCTCTGTGTAGCCCTGGCTGTTCTGGAACTCACTCTGTAGACCCAGAAATCTATCTGTCCTGTGTCTTCCAGTTGCTGGAATTAAAGGTATGCACTACCACCATCTGGCTGGAGAGCTAGGTCTTAAGAGAGCTATTCCCTAGGCCCCAGCCAGAACCCTTGGTGAGATGTCCTGGGATGAATGGTATCCTTTGGGCCAGTGACACCAGAGAAGACTCAGTCCAAAGCCCTGGCCATGCACTCCTGCCTCAAAGTAAAGAGAAGCGAGGCTAGAATGAGTGGGTTACCTATGTGACCCACCTAGCTCCCACAATAGCCCTGTCAGCATGCATTTGTCCCTTCACTTTATAGATAAAGAAACTGAGTGTCAGTTATAGAAAAATGCAGCTGCTGGGCTACGGCCATCCAGCTGTCAGGAGTGATGAACCTCTGAATGGTCTGTCCGGATGAGTGATGGACTGTCAGCACTGTGACAGTCAGGAGGGAACCTGCCCCACAGGATAGGCATGCGGGTGGGGAGGACACCCTTCAGAACTCACCAGTGTACAAGGCAGTTACCCCCGTTGAGGCGGCAACTGTGGATAAAGTTGATGCATTCTTTGAAGTGCTTTTTGCTAGAGAAGAAAGCAACAGGGAAAGGAGTTGGGGACAGGACTCTCAGGAGCTGCCTCCTCACTTACAGACACCAAGGGACCAGAACCCTAGGTCCTCAGTGCAGCCAGCGTGCACAACCAATGGAGACACTGCCCAGGAGGAGGCAGCATAGCGGGCAGGAGAGGCTGGCCCTACCATCTAGGTGGGCGCCTCCCCAGTAGGTGTGAACACGCTTCCACCATGGGAGTATTCTGATTGTTCAAGGACATGGGTGTCGGGAGAGCAAGATGCTATTTCTCTGGGGTCTGCAACTGGAGGATCTGGAACAATAGTTAGCAGTGGGTTGGGAGAAGAGCCCCAAAGGGCCAGGCTTCAGTCTGAGTCCCTCCTAAGCTTTGCCATATCAGTGCGAGCAAACCAAACTCCTGTTTTCCAGAGTCCCTGCCATCACCGGGTCCAGTCCCACATCCTCAACTTGGGTCACCTCATTTTTGCAAACCTTGACTCATCACATCCTGCCGTTATGGAGCTGAAGCTCTGACAGGACAAGTGATTTTGCCAAGGTCACACAGCAATAAATGGCAAAGCCTGGCTGTGAACCAGGTGTCTTAACTGCAAGCCAGGATGGATGCAGGTCAAGTCTGACCCTCAAATCTGCTGTGCACCTGGTCCCAAGAGACAGGACACTGTCTCCACATCACAGGGGAGTAGGCTGAGGCTCTGGAGAGAGCTGAGTAGGTACATACTGCAAGGGCATGGCAGAAACAGGCTCAGTCTGGCTCTGGGTGCCCTTTGACAGCTTTCTGACCTGAGTGCTCTATGCCCTCACCCCCACCCCCACCCCAGGGGCAGCTCTCCGTCAGCTGTCGGCCCATCCAGGGGAACTTACATGGGTACCTCAGGAGTATCGGCCACTGAGATTCGAAGGTACGTGATATCCTGCAGGGATGAAACATATACTCAGATGGTGGGGGCCTTGCCTGTACTCCTCCCCCAGCCTGAACTGCCAAGGTCAGTGTGACCCCAGCACATTCCTGCCCCTCTCTGGGCCACCATTGTTTTCCTGTCCACAGAGAACAGGTTCTATCTGTATGGACTGCCAGCTATCTCTGTGAAGATGGTGTCCTCACCCACATGTGACATGGACATGAGGACTTGGGAACTGGCATGGCGCCTCTTCCAGGACTTGCCTCCAGGCAGGCATTGCAAAGTTATACAGTGAAAAGGGTGGAGCTCATTTGTCTCGAAGAGAATGAACTACGAAAAGAACAGTCAGGCGTAGTGACCACACATTTGTAATCCTAGTACTAAGGAGGCTGAGGCAGGATGACTATGAGTTAGAGGCCAGCCTGGGCTACCACAGTAAGTCCTGTCTCAAAAGACGAACAACCAAACAACACACACCCAGCAGCAGCAGCAGCAGCAGACAACATCAACAACAGCTTCAGGAACTGGTCTGATAGGCTTTACTTTCTGCTGAAGCTCAACACAAGGGTATTAAGGATATTTCTGTCCATATCCCAAACCCTTTACTGTCATTTCGCGGGTAAAGATTTTTCTCGATATTTTGTTACTTCACAGAGGCCTATTCAGGTGCCTTGTCTGCTGCTGGCTGTGGCTGTCCTTTTGTGTCCAGGGAGATTTGTCCCATCTCTTTCTAACACTTCCAAGGTCATGGAATCCCATGTTGTTTGCCAGATCTGCAGTTTCACTGAGCAGTGTGTTTGGCTGTAGGTTTGCCTGGAAGCATCAAACCCTGCCTGCTGAATTCCCTGATGGAAGGGACAGCTGCTGGTGAGGTGTAGGGCAGGGCTCTTTTCCTAAGCACTCATTTCTTTAATAAACACATTAATAACTTGGAAAGCCTGCCAGTGCAATCTGTTCAGACTACATACTCCACTGCGCTAGAATGAGGCTGCCCTAGAATGCAAAATCAGATTGCACTGACCTGTAAATTTCTTCATAGACAATGAAAGTCATAGATTATTGTCAGATTTCCTTAGAGAGCATTAAATTTAATAGGCAAACAAACAAGCCCAAGGCCCAGAGAGGGTAAAAGACCCTGTCCAAGGTCATCGAAGCAAGTTTGTGGTGGATTAGATTCTGTCTTAATTTAAAAGATTGATTTTATGTGTACAAGTGTTCTGTTTGCGTGTATGTGTGTATACTGTTTGTGTGCCCAGTGCCAATCAGAGCTCTCTGGTTGTGGAATTTACAGTGTGAGCTGTCATGTAGGTGCTGGGAACCAAGCTTGGGTCTTTTACAAGAACAAGTGCTCTTAATCTCTGATCCTCTCTCCAGCCCCCTAGAGCCTGTTTTTTGTTTTGTTTTGTTTTGTTTTTTGTTTTTAAATCTCAGATCTCCAGAACCTTTTCCACCTACCACGCCTTCTCTGTAATAGATGTAGTGGATACAGACTCTAAGACAAAGGGCTCTTTTTATGGGAGTGTGTGTGCGTGTGTGTACCTATGAATACACTTATGGTATGTATGTATAGGGAGGTGACTATCCACATTTGTGTGTATGCATGCCGAGGCCAGGTGTCAGCTCTGTCATCCTCCGCATTACCCCTCCCCCCAAGACAGGCTCTCTTACAGAACCTGGAGATGTTTTTCACCATGCTGACAGCCAGCTGTCCCCAGAGATTCTCCTACTTCCACACCCTCTATCTCCAGCGCCAGGGTTATAGGCACATATGGGCATGCTTGGTTTTTATATGGGAGCTGGGCATCTGTAGAACATGCTCTTAGACACCAAGCCATCTCCCTAGCCCGGGATAAGAGTATTAAAAAAACCAAACATCTTTTTTCAGTTATGCTTTGTTGAGCATCTCTATGTAGCTCAAAGAAACTCCTCAGTGATGTCAGCACGATTGTAACATTTCCATTTAATAGATGGTGACTGGGGCTCAGCTTGTCTCATGCACAGGGTCACAAAGAGAATAAATGGTCACCTGACTCCAGCACCAGTTGTCTTAGTTTCTTCCTTTGGATCCTAACTCCTTCACCTCTTCCTTAGGATTCCATGAGAGCAGAAGCCATCCTCCAATGAGACTGTGCATTACAGCATACAGAAATGTCTTCCTTATCTGGCAGACCCCCTGTACCCCCACAACAGTCCTCTGGGGCAGTCTGGATCAAAGACCCAAGGAGCCGACATCATGGCTCAAGGTTACACATCAAGACACAGAACCTGGGATCTTCTGTTTGGAATGATCCGGACAACTTGGCAATTGAAAGGATGCCCAGGTAGGTGCAAAAAGGATTACTATGAGACCTGCATTAAGGTCTTAATATTAAGGATTGATATGGGATCTTCAGGGTCAGATGGCCTATGTTCAAATCCTAGTTGGCCAGCTTCCTCTCTGTATGACCTTACATGAAATTCATTTACCTCTGCTGCCTCAGTTGCCAAACAGGGATGATAAAACATTCCAGTGAAGCTAGATGAGTCAGCTGGTGTCAAGATGGCAGTTCAAGGACTGTGGCTCAAGAATAGAGCATTTGCCTAGCATGCTTGACACGCTGGGCTCCATTTCCAGTACGAGAAAGTAGGCGGGGTGGGGAGCAGCCCTGGACCTACAGCTTTCTCTCCCTACCTATCAGCCTGGAATGGAGAGCTTGGAGTACCTGCAGCAGAGGCTGGGGTGATTCATGGATAGAGATGATATGTGTGATCTTATTCCGGCCCAACTGATCCGGGTCTTTGGCATCTGAAAGAAACAAGATATTTGAGCCAAATTGGCAGGTATGATGAGTCTGTTCCTAATGACCAAGTTCAGAGAAAGCCAGTGCTAAGCTTGCCTCCTCATTCCTCCCTTCCAGCTTGGCCCACCCTCTGCTGGCTTGCCCGTTCCTTCTCTGGGGTACCCATCAGAGACAGGCTGGTGTGCCCCAGCCTTATGCTGTTCTTCCCATCCCAGACACCTGCCTCCCTAGCTCATCCTTGGAGTCAGCGATTCCACTTCTAGGAATCTGTGGAAAGCTGCACATGGAGGCCGAAGTTCTCGGCAAAGCCGTTTATTGCAGAAACAGCCGGATGTTTGGAACAACCTAATGTCCACCAAAAAGGGACAGAACAAAAAGTATAGTACAACTGTACTTTAGACTCCTGTGCAGCAATTAAAATGATCCCTGCGAGCTGATAGATGGATGTCCCCAATATATGCTCTAAGTGGGACATACCAATTCCTGAACAGCATGCAGAGTGAGGTTCCACTTGCTTTAAATATTACATCTGTATCTACACTGTATGACAAAATGCCCAGGACTACACCCCGTAGGACTGTCAAAGGTCATCTCTGGGAAGTGAGATATACCAGCATGTACCTTTTATAAGCAGGGTAAATAATGCATAGCCCTTCTTATTTCCATATACCTATTTCCTCATTTGACAAATATTCCCCATCTGCCTGTTATATGCCAGCTTTGGCTGGGCACTGAGTCTGGGATCAACTTCATGGCTCTAGTCCTTGTGGAACTAACATACACCTAAGCTGAATCCTCTCAGAAATCAATGTGGTAGGAGCTGCTGAGGAGGCTCTTAGGGAGGCAGGAGCCAGGGCTGTTGGGTGGGTCACCTGAGTCTTCTCTGTGACATTGCCACCTTGAGTCCCCAGACCTTGAGCCAGCCTGTCTCAGCACATTTTCTACCACAAAGTCAAAGGTCTATGTTCCAATCTGGCTCCCTACCTCCAGCCTGGAGGCCTGTGAAGGCATCGATGGGGACAGCACTGCCTCTACCCCCATAGGAGGTTGTGAAAGGGAGAGAGAGAGAGAGAGAGAGAGAGAGAGAGAGAGAGAGAGAGAGAGAGAGAGAGAGAGAGAGAGAGAAACTGCAGGCTGGCCACTCCCTGGCTTGAGGCTACCTGGTGGTTCCACTCAACTTAGACTCTACTTAGAGGAGCCGGTCCAGCTTCCTCTTCAGAGGAGGCTGTGGGAGAATCCCCAGCTTCCCCAGGGAAGCCATACCCCCAGGCAGACCTCAACAAAAACCTTATGGAAGAGCCCTTGGGGGCTGGTGGGCTATATGCTGAGGAGGGGGACGAGGCTTAGATCCTGAGCCCTTCGTGCAGGTCTTTAACCTGTTGGTAAACCTTGGGGGGAGGCTGAATTAGGAGACAATGTCAGTGATCTTCCAGCCTGGGGGCTGCCTGCCCTTGCACCCCCTAAACCCGCAAGAGTTTTCTCCTCTCAGCCTGGCTTCCTTCCCTTCCCCACTCTCTCCTCTTGAAAGCATCTAAGTTGTGTGGGCCTGAGTGTGAATAGCGGACACAGGCCTGGGACGGACAGGCAGAGTGCCATGGCCTTGGTGCAGAGTGGAAAGTGCTCACCAATGAAGTTTCCAAGGTAGAGTCCAGGAAGTACCTGGAGGAAGGACAGCAGGGGTCAGGGGGCAGGCTGCACCCCTTCCCACCCATGGTAGCTGGGGCCCGCAGCTCTTCTCTATTGGTGATGGGACCTCAGGAAGCCATCTTCCTGTTAGGTCTGGGTGCTGCATGAGGGGTCTGGGGCTCTGGCAAGGATGCAAGAACAGGCAATCAAATTAGCCACAGGAGGGGCGAAGGAGCTCAACCTGGGGACAGGTAGAAGAGGAGGGATGGGTAGAAATTCCCAGGTAGAGATCCGGAAGGGGTACCGAGTGAGTCCCGGACAGAGGGGACTGAGGCGGGCACAGGTGGAAGGCCATGCGGAGCAGAGCTGGGGGGATAGAGAGAGACACCAGAGTCCCGGAATCTCAGACCCATACAGACATAGAGAGGCAGAGGGAAAAGGCGCTCCGGGAGATGTCAGCGAAAGACAAGAGTCAGAGTCGCACAGAGGACAGACAGGCACAGGCAAACACAGAGAAAGGCAGATGCAGTCTCCGAGGGCAGCGTGACAGAGATGTGGAGCGGAAGGTCAGCGACCTTGTCCAGGGTCCGGGCGCGGGGCGGGGACGGCCAGGCGCGGCGGGGGGTCCCCCTACCTTGGTCATGCCATTCCCCATGATCCCGAGGCCGGGTGCCCGGGCGCACCCCCAGCTCGGCGCCTGGAAAGCGCTAGGTTCACAGCTGCCCGGGGAGCCCAGGCCCAGAGCCTGCAGCCTGATTGGGAACCAGGGGCCCGGCGTCCGCGGCCCTGCCCAGCCCTGTCCAGCCGCCGCCGCCACCGCCCGCCGACCCCCGGCCCCGGAGGGAAGTGATGGAGCCGCCGCCGCTGCCGCCGCCGCCGCCACCGCCGCAGGCTCCTCCTACCCCTCGGTCATGTGGGGGCCCCCCTCCCCCGTGGGTCGTGGCGGGGGGCCGGACAAAGCCCCAGTGTGCGGGGCCCACGGCCCGCGGGACAACGGCAGCTTGTTGCGGCCGCGTGGGACGCCACCTCCGGAGGTGGGGGCGGGGCGCTCCCCCCACCCTGGCACTGTCAGGCGCGGCAATGGGGGAGGATGTGGTGGGGAGCCCCCAACGGAGCCCAGACATTCAGCTTGCCGCTGTGCTTGCACCTGCCCGGGGCAAAGCAGATAGCTTTTCCAGCCTGGGTTTCTTTAGTATGGAGGCTGGACTAAGAGCTCTGCTATTTAGTTTGGGTTTGGGACAAGAAATTAGAAAAAAGAAAAAAAAAATACCTTCCATTATAGAATCCTCCCCCCTTTCCCACTCATCCCACTATCCACATCTACTCATCCGTTCTATCCATTTACCCATCCATTCACCTTCCATTCATCCATCATCCATCTGCCCTCCCTTCTACCCATTTATGCCTCAGTCTACCCATTCACTCATCTCTCATCTTCTTTCTCTCCTTCCCATCCGTCTTCTCATCATTCATCCATCATTCATCCATCAGTCCACTGTCTCTCAACTTTCCTCCCTGCTATCTATCCTTCCACGTACTCTGGTCCCCAGGAGATAGTGCCACGTGGGTAATTCTACTAGGACTAGGCTTAACTGCCATTAGAGGTCTGAAGAAACCAGGGGTAAATGTGGAGGAGAGGGAGATGTAGAAACGTTCTCCAGCCACCAGGGTCCTGGCTCTGAAAATTGCAACAAGATGTCCACAGTTCAAGCCTGTGTTCTCATTTGACTTGTTGAATGATCTGAGAAAGTTCCTTGTGACTCCAGCTGACACTATCTGCATACGCATGTTAAAAATAAATGAGTTCCTACGGGAACTGCTTTGTTCCCATGGCCATCATCCCTATCCTTCTAAGTGACTACAGGGGAATATCCACATAGGCAGGAACAGAGTCTGTTTCAACTACAGTTGGAGAAAAAGAAACCCATTCTTTAGGTCTCTCCCTTCCTTGAGTTCACAGTGTATGTGGGGTATCTGGCTCAGCATCCTCTGTTTTCATAAAACCCAAATTATTAGGCAAATATTTATCGAGCAGTAGATACTAGGGACACAGTCATAGGCTAAGATAGAGGCAGCTCTTACCTTCCTTAGCTAGCAGTCTGGACCTCAGTTTCCTAAGCTGTGGGTTTGGCCCAAACTGAATGTGTGATGGTTGTGAAAATTTTGGCAACAGTGAAAGGTTCTAAATATGTAATGGCTAAAAATTCAAAATTAAACATAGTGAGTCTGGGGTGTTCCAGGCAGCAGTCACCTGTGTCACACCATGTGACATGGCTGCAGCTTTGTTTTTGAATCTGCAATATGAATACACCACGAATGAACGAGACCTGAAACACCTCAGGCCAGAATTGAGACTCTATTATGTTATGAGCTGCAGTGTCTTTACTGTACAAACTACTTGTAATATGTGTGTGGGGGAGACACAATATTTTCCTGCCATCATTCCTCAGCATGTGTCAAACTAAAATATCTTCAGATTATGTTATGTTGAAATGTTTTTTTTTAAAAATGCTGATTGAGTTGCTGGATCCAATCTCCTAAAAAATTATTACATGAACTTTGGGTTGGGACTAGGACAGACTTTTCAACAACTCCTGACATTTGGGCTACATATTTATACAAAGTGACATTTTAAGCATTGATGATTATAAAATTAAAATATCAACCCTGAAAAAAGTCCTACAGTATCAAATATCCAGCCAAGATTTAGTTCTTTATGCAGAAATTAAACAAGTATATCATCTCATTAGAATGCATATTTACTACAGGCCTTTCTATATGATAAAATTACATGTAGATGAAATTATTTTAAATAAGTTCTTTTGTGACTTATTATCAGTAAATGTTTGATTTGTAAACCTGCTTTATACACATTTATGCCCAGGCAGGGGTTGTTTCTTAGGGGAAAAAGGGCTAGATAATGCTCAGCTGGTAGTGTTTGTCTAGCATGCATGAACCCTGGGGTTTGAACCCTAGCATTCTTGTAACCTCCTGCAATCTAGCACTTGGAAGGCAGAGGTGTCAGGATCAGAATAGCAAGTTTGAGGACAGTCTGGGCTATGAGAAATCTTGTCTCAGAAACAAAGAAGCCCAAACCAAAAAGGGGTGGGGACAAATGGAAAAAAAAAAAAATCAAATGTAAGAGGCCCTGGCCTAGTACAAAATGTGTATGCACACATTGAATTTTTTCTAGTGGATGCAAATTAATTGTTGATTGTAGCACTGACCACGCCCATTGGGGGTGGAGCGATGGGCGGAGGTGACCTGAGGAAGGAGGTGGGGGGGGGGGCAGGAAGGCGCTCTCTCGCTTTCTGGTGTGACCCAGACAGGAGAGGATCGGGTTGAATTTCCTGGTGTTCATCTGTCTAGGTTGTAAGTTATTTCTCCCTGAATAAACATCTATTCGGCCTATTTGTTTATCCTGATCCTTATTTACCGCAATAGTTGATAATGTTTTGGTTTAATTCAGTACTTTTAGACACTATCATTTTAGCATTTGGTCAGTGTTTAGAAATTATTGATGATGTGTTAAGTCTTCAAAACGTGATGTGTGGCTTCCACTTCGGGCTCATCTCAACTCAGACAATCTATATGGCAGATGCTGGTAGCCTTATGTTATTAGTATCAAGAAAACATATGTCCCAGATCTAGGTGAGAAGGCAAATAGACATATAATGCACTTAACAAAGGTCACAGTTGACTGTGATGGAAACAAAGCAGATTGGATGGCTAAGAGAACCTATTTGAAAGGTGGCATTTGAGCTGAGACCTGACATGGCTATTTTCAGAGTGGAGAAGGACAGAAAGACGGAGGCACTGCAGAGGCCTGTGCTGGGGAGAGTGTAGCCTGTGGGCAGAGCAGGGACAGATGGAGCAGAGGGAACTGAGGCAGGAGCATGGCATGGGCTGAGAGTCCCTACACAAAGAACCCTCCAGGGTACAACTGCGATTAACATTGTCTTCTCCGTGGGACAGAGATCCAAAGGGAAACTTAAACAAGGGCCCATGACATCTGGCTTAAGGGTTTAAGTCCCTCACTGTGTCCCCCACTGACCCTCCTCTTAGGAAAGTCATCAAGGAGGCCACTGCAGCTGTGCAGGTGGGAGATGAAGACAACTTGGGAAGGGGCAGACAAAGATCTTGGCTGCAAAGAAGGGGAGGCACTCACTATGTATGAATATCTAAGGGTATGGCTGACAGGATATGCAGACAGAGGCGGGTAGGGAACGAAGGGATTACCAGGTTCCCTGACTTGAAAAATCACTCTGCCACAGAAAGGAAAACATCAATAATTCAACCACGTGGTTATTGGATGTCAAGTTGTAGGTGGAAGATTACACCAAAGATATGCTGATGTTGAGTCGAGTCTCCCAGAAGGTCTGGCCTTCTGGGAGTGGGGTGTGGAGATGTGCATTTGTAATTACAGCATCCAGAAGATAGATGCAGGTGAATCAGGAGTTCAGATCCAACTTTGGCTACTATATGAAATCTTGTCTCAAATATACACATCCTGGGGTGGGGGTGGGGAATTATAAAAGGTCCTGGAGACAAGGTCCCATGTCAGAGTCCTAGGTGCGAGAGCCGATTTTCTCAGGTTATTTCATCATTAAAGGGCAAGCCCCAGTAGCCCTTTGTGTCTCTGCTTGTTAATTAAAGGGAATGATCACCCCCCCCCAACCCTCTGCAGAAGAGGGAGGAGAAAAGAAGTTATTAGACATCACACATTTAATAGCTATGAACTATTTGCTCTGCAAGTGAGAGCTATTGAAAAGCTCAACTTCTTAAAATGAAATGACCGTTATACAAAAATTCTGCTAAAACACATGTCTCCCTGGAAACCAGTCCATGGCTCATCATGGTAAGCAAAATGATGGCTCTCAAAGACGTCCACATGCTAATTGCTGTCAACTCTGAGTGTGCTGTGTTATACAGGAAAGGGACAGGGCAAGGGTGGATTAAACTCATTAATCAGCTGTCACGAGGTGGAATGTTGCTTCATAGACAGTGAAATCCCCAGTAGTGTCCTCACAGGTGGCAGGGAGGGATCTAATGACAGAATAAGAGAGCACAAGAGGTTCTGGTTTTAAAGGCAGAGGGCAACTGTGGTGAGGGAACTGTACTTCTGAGCTATTTTTTTACATCAAGTCAGTAGAGCATCTATCTCTAGGCTGGCAAGATTCCTTGAAAAGAATCAAAACACACTTAAAAGATAGCCAATGTCTTTGGAAATGTATAGCTGAGCTTGGAAGGTGGCTAAAAGGGGGAGGCAGAGTCTCTACTCAAATAAGAATGGGGAAGGACCCCAGTTTGTCACTAACGACTCCTCAGGGTGGAGACTGCTCATTTTATAAACAAGAGACTTCAGGAACTGCTGGTGGAAATTTTAAGGCAACAGAATTATTACTTTTTTAATAGCTAGTAGTAAGAACTCAGTTGTGTGGGTACCTTAATTCATCCAGTGAGACCCATTCCAGGCTTCTTCCCAGAACCTTGAGATAACACAGTCATGATATTTTTAAGTCACAAAGTTTGTGGAAATTACTAGTGGCAATCAGAAACTCTCTGTTGTCCTTAGGAGAAACCATCTCGTAATCTTATGGCAGCTAATGTGCTATTGAGTAAGTTGCTTAAAGTCTATGAACCTCACCCTTATCATCTATGAATGGGAGGGAGGACAAGACCCTGCAGGTTTGTAGTGTGACTAAAGTGCCCAGTGGAGACCTGGCATGCAGGGTATCATCATACCCTCGTCACGGAGCCATCCACAGGTGCTAGGTATTTTCCACACTCTTCTTACCTGAATAAACAGGCCACACCTCCTTGCTATCTCACCCCCCCTGCAAAGGTGCAGCTGGCAACACTGGCTGGGACCCTGCATTTGAGTGTGTTCACTAATCTTGTAGAGGACCCTGGTTTGGTTCCCAGCACCCACATGGCAGCTCACAGCCACTTGTAACTCTCGTTCCA